TCATCGCAATTAAATTCAAGACATCGCAGTCGAGGTTATCCACAGCTGCAGAACTCGCCGCCATACGTGCAGCTCTGGAGTTTAGAGTTGAAGAACCTTCGAAAGCTTGGTCCATCTTCTCAGACTCGAAGGCAGTTTTTCAATGTCTCATGTCACCCTTTTGCCATGAACTTAATGAACAGTTAGTAGCTGATATAAGGCTTCTTCACCACCAACAAGCAATCAAGAAACAACTCAGCGTAGCGCATTAGTGGAAACCAGATCATTGCGGTATATATGGCAATGACCGCGCAAATGAGGCCGCTAGATCTGCTCATGACGGTACGCAGTACACAGCTATCCCGTTCCGAAGAACCAACGCAGCCACAAGGCTTCGTTCGCTTTCACGTGAAGTCACACTGGTGCAGTGTAACTCGACGGAATTCATAAACGCTCGCCTGCATAACTTCGGTCCCTATCTCAAGCTTCGTCTTCCCTCAAGAATATCTCGAGCTGAGGAGACTCCTCTGTGCCGCCTATGGCTTGGCCTGGCTTCACGAACGCATATTCTTCTTTTATTGTAATGGTCAGCACCACTACATAAAATTACTGCAGCTGCGAAGAAATAATCACCCACATTGTGTGCGAGTGTACCATTTTCAACGCGCCAAGACAAGAACTTACCGAAGCTATAGATGGACTAGATGATCGGCGTTCGTCAAAAAAAAGAATTCTGGGTCACTGGCCGAGTCCATCATTAGCCCAGAAGGCTGTGAAAGCATTAGTACGTTTTTTTTGCGGACAACTGGCCTTAGAAGCAGACATTAGTGCCGTATACTTCATATTTTGCTTTTTCCTCTCTCACTATTTTTTTTGTCTTTTCTTTTTCTCTGTCTCTTTGTAACATATATTTTATATCACCTTTAATTCCCCTCACCCCCTTCTCCAGTACAGGGTCGACAGCTGGACTAAGAGCCGGCTAACCTCCCTGTCCTTCCGCTTATTGCTTTACTCCTCCTTTCTCATGTGAGACTCAGCTAGCCTTCTTTACTCATAAACGGCACCACATTCTTGATCGTTCAACATTTGCCAATTGTATTGTTTATACTTCGCTAAAGCATTTTTATATTTTTATTTATACTTCGCTAAAGCATGTCATAAACACCACTTTATAAACTAAGTCAGTTAAATCTGGATATTAATATTCTCAGATGAAATGGGTGCATCCTATCTAATCGTAATCAACTTGTAAACGCTAATGGCCGTAATTCATGACTTCGCAAGCTGACCTCCGGCGTGCCCCAAGGTTCATGTGCTCAGACCTCTTTTCTTCCTTATTTATATTACCAACCTCCTTGCTTCGCAATAATTTAACATTCATTTGTTTGCTGATGACTGTGTGATATTTCGTGAAATAACCAGCATCAACAATCGTAACCATCTTCAGTCTGATTTAAGGACCATGTCTAACTGTAGTAAACTTTGGTCTATTGATATGTGGGGTTCAACGTCCCAAAAACCACCATATGATTATGAGAAACGCCGTAGTGGAGGGCTCCGAAAATTTCGACCACCTTGGTTTCTTTAACGTGCACCTAAATCTGAGCACATGGGCCTACAACATTTCCGCCTCCATTGGAAATGCAGCAACCGCAGCCGTGATTTGATCCCGCCACCTGCGGGTCAGCAGCCGAGTACCTTAGCCACTAGACCACCGCGGCGGGGCGTAAATTTTGGTTAATGAAATGAAACGTCACTAAGTGTAAAGTTAGGCGTGGGTCCCGTTCAACTAACAGCATGTACATATATTGCCTCAATAGTGTTCCTCTTTAATTTGTTAAATCTTATAAATACCTTGGTGTACATATAAATATATTAACATGTATTTGGACACCGATATTATTATGGGGTAAACTGACAGGTAGTGGGACAGCAGAGGAAAGCCGCAGGGCAGAGAACGAGGAAGATGAAGTGTTTCAGAACAGTGACGCTGGTGGAAATGGCTGCCAGAATAAAGCCGAGTTAAAGTGTCTCGTTTTCGTGTGTTTAGTGGCCGTTACAATATTGACTACGTAATTATGGAATGCAAACCGCACCCTATAGGCCGTAACATTTCATCTGCACCTTCATCTCTAAAAATGCGCCTCTACAGTATACCCTCGTATGACTTAAATTAGAATATGCATGCGCTATTTGAGACACTACTATTGACAAACTAACATCTTCATTAGAACTTGTACAAAATTATGCAGCTCGCTTCTTCTAATCTAACTACAACAGAACAGCAAGTGTGTCCGATCTGCAAACACACTCTTTCACTCATGTCATTACCTTCTCGTTGTAGAGTCACGCGTCTGGTTCTTTTTCACAAAATATTTGACCATCCAACTGTCCGAAATGAACTCATTTCTCGGCCGCTTTACATATCGCCTCGAATGAACCATCGTTACAAAGTTGGTTTTCAAACGTGTCACACAAAAACCTTCTTTCTGTCATTTATAATCTGATCACATTCGGTAATAGAAAATCAGCTAATAGATAAATGCTCAGAATACAGCCAACCCCTACACATAGCCTTCATAGTTCACGAGAAAGCGTTTGATTCAGTAGAAATATCAGCAGTCCTGCAGAATCTGTGGAATCAGGGCGTAGATGGAGTATATATAAACATTCTGGAAGAAATTTACAGGGGATCAACTGCTACCATAGTGCTTCAAAAAGAAAGCAACCGAATACCAATCAACAAGGGTGTAAGGCAGGGGGCATATAATCTCCCCAATGCTATTTTCCGCGTGCTTACAGGAGGTTTTCAGAGGCCTCAGATGGGAAGACTTAGGGATAAGAGTTAACGGAGCGTACCTTAGTAATCTGTGCTTCGCCCATGACATTGCATTGCTGAGTAACTCAGGGGACGAAGTGAAACTCATGATTACGGAGTAAGACAAGGAGAGCAGAAAGGTGGGTCTTAAAATTAATCTGCAGAAAACGAAAGTAATGTACAACAACCTCGAAAAAGAGCACTGCTTCGAGATAGGCAATAGTGCACTTGAAGTTTGAGAAGAATATGTCTACTTAGGACAGGTAATCACCGCAGAGCCGAACCACGAGATTAAAGCAACTAGAAAAATAAGAATGGGGGAGAAGCACATTTGGCAAGCACTCTCAAATCATGACAGATAGATTGCCACTATCCCTCAAGAGGAAGGTATATAAGAGTTGCATCTTGGCGGTACTTAGCTACGGAGCAGAGATTTGGAGACTTACAAAAAGGGTTCAGCTTAAATTGAGTACGACGCAGCGAGCAATGGAAAGGAAAATGGTAGGTGTAATCCTTAGGGACAATTAAAAAGGCAGCAGGGTGGATCAGGTAACAAACCAAAGCTAAGGATATCATAGTTGAAATCAAGAAGAAGAAAGAGACATGGGCCGGGCATGTAGCGCGTAGACAGTATAACCACTTTTAATTCAGGGTAACTAACTGGATTCCCAGAAAAGGCAAGCGGGTTAGGGGGAGACAGAAAGTTAGGTGGGCAGGTGAGGTTAAGAAGTTTGCGGGTATAAAGTGGCAGCAGCAAGCACAGGACCGAGTTTACTGGTGCAACATGGGAGAAGCCTTTGCCCTGCAGTGGACCTATCCAGGCTGATGATGAATCCGATAATGCTCTGAATGGAACCACATTCCTGAAGCCATCATATCAGTTCACGACAGTCACTTGCTTAAAGCAGCCTTAACTAATAATTGGTAAAGTGATTCTACTCTATTTTTTTTTTACTTTTTGCAACACTAGTGAATCTAGGAATTTTTTTTCCTACGTACATATTTTGTGACCTTAGTACATTTGCCATTTTTGCTTATGACTTTCCTGTGATCATTTAATCTTTTTGCTATTTTAGATGAAACTGTATAACTATATGATTTTTATACTGATATGATCTGTTTTTTTGCTTCTGTGTCACTTTTGTAACCACTCCCCTCTTTAATGCCTCTGGCTGTGAGGGTGTAGTAGTAATAATAATAATAATAATAATAATAATAATAATAATAATAATAATAATAATAATAATAATAATAATAATAATAATAATAATATAATAATAATAATAATAATAATAATAATAATAATAATAATAATAATAATATAATAATAATAATAATAATAATAATAATGTTATTATAATTTCATTCTCATCATGAATCTTTTGTACTCTGGAAAGTGACAAAATGCGAAGGAAATTTGTCTATAGCGTCATCTGCCCAGCTACGAATTTTTCTCGTCGGAGCTAACCCCACCATCTAGTCTGCCGCGGTGCTTAGCGCTTACGGTGCTTGGCTGCTGACTTGACGGTGACGGCTTCGATACCGGCTGCCGTGGTCGAGTTTCGATGGACGCGAAACGTCTCGTGCACTGTGCCGTGTCAGTGCATGTTGAAAAACACCAGATGCTGGAAATTTCCGGAGCCCTCCTCCACGGCGCGCTTCATAATAACATGGTGGTTTTGGTCGGTAAAACCCCAGATATCATCAGGCTGACTTAATAACACCGATGACTCGCGCAAAAGTTTTGTTTGTAAGACGCGAACAATGATGGCGTAAGCTCACGCGCGTGCCCGTATACAAAACGGCAGTTATGAAGCTGCGCGAATTCGAACCGCTTTCAAGAACGCTGTTCAAGAATCGGCAGGTGTAAAACATGCTTGTGTCGGGCCCTCTCGAAGAAGGACGTGTGCCCAAGGCGGTGCTCCGGCTGTTTTTGTTAATCCTTCACGTGGTCATCGAAGAACGGGTCAATGGGACAGTGAGTCGTCTGCTATCCAAGGCGCTGCAGTGATCAGGGAGCGGTCCTGGAGGCCGAGCTCGCCCTGTTCTGGCCCGGACAGCTGCTGCGGGCAAGGGGGTAGCGGAATTCCTTCGTCGTCGCCGCCGTGGTGGTTCACCTGAAGAAACTGGTTTCGGAGGAAGGAAGGGAGCGAGGGGGCGTGCTTCTGGCTCCGGTGTGTAGCCACCATACCGACCGAAGGAGGGCGCAGCCTGAGAAATCACCCAGCAAGAAAGTGCGTGCGCTTTGTCGCCCGTTTCTTTCCGGTAGTTTCTTTCTCGCCGAGTTTTTGGATGACCAAACCGCGCGAATGAGCCCTGACATCGGTGGGCCCGGGTCTGAGAAGACGCGAGGCGTCCCCTACGGTGGCATGGCTGCGTTCGACGAGCAGACCCTTTACCGCTGCTGCTCCCGCTACCGCTGCAAGTGACGGCACGGCGCAACTGCCGGCGGCCCCTGCGACATCGCCGCCACTGCTGGTGGGAATAACGCTCCGGAAACGCGGAAGTTTTGGCTGCGAAAGCGGTCGAACCCGCCGCGCAACCGTAAGTGCCTTCTCGTCCGTACTTGCATTGTGCTGCAGCAGAGGCGATCGGGCGCCGGAGTCTTTAGGTGCAAAACTCTGCCACATGTCTCATTCAGCCGTTGAAGCAGTTCCAGGATAACTATTTCATAGGTCAACGACCAGAAGCGTTTGATAGATTACGCATGATGCTTGATTTTCAAAAAAAAAAAAACAGTGATGATCGCAAAAAAGCAATAGTGATTTTTTTCTTCGCTTTATTGTGAGTTACGCGCATACTAAACAACGTTCTTAGCAAACGTACAAGTAAAGCAAGGTGGTGACAAAGTGATCAATGTACTTAATCAATAAATAGCAACTACAATGTATGGGCAACTGCAGTGCAGTCTGTTGTTGGCCTCCAGTGGTACTCACTGCTCTTGCTCATACATTCACAACGTAAGTTCTGTTTCAAAGGAAATGGATATATCTGTTGACGTCAAACGAGATGAATATGCGAATGCACACGCGAAGATGGACAAACAAAACTAAAGTACTTAGCTTTTTGTTTATCCACTTCATTAAAATTCATCCTTAACATTTTTTGTGAGTATATTTTTCGAGCTTTGCTTACTTGCAACATGTTAATCCAGTTCTCTCAGACACCAGTTCTGGTTCAGGTCATAGATAACGCAGGACTTTTCATGGTTGCGTAAAAATTTCGTTGCCACGTGACGTCGAAAGGCTGTCGACCAAGAGCACACAGGAAGCAAAGGGGCGGACACGCGTTAACGCGCAATGTCCTGCGAGGTTCCGTCAGGCGCGGAATGGGGAGCAGCCGTGCGTCAAGCGGTCAGGCAGCAAACTGAGGCGCACCCGTGTCTGGGGGCGACGTCTTGGCACGCTTGATCGGCAAGGGTTTGCATTGCAAGTGTACGTAGCACGCACGGCTGCACGCACGATCGCGAGTTCAGGAGCGTTGGCTTTGGCAATCACTTGTACCCTGTGTAGGTCTTTATAGGACAGTACAGGTCAAAAGATAAGCTTCACTAGCGGAGAACATGTGGTGTGGAAGAACCACTTTGGTGAAACTGGCAGGCTACAATGACCGCAGCCCCTTCATGATATATTGCAGAGTCATCGCACAGTTCCAGTTGAATATGAACCACTGCAGCTTTTTCGCTTTTTTTGTGTTCACACGTTTGTCCACACTGGCTATTCCATTCCTCGTGGTCTGACACCATCGTAAAAGCCGTAATATTGAATAGAAACGATGATAAACGGTGCACACTGCAGATGCCAGAAGGCCCACGCCCAAACACGAGAATTAGGTGTTGTCAGAAATGGGCGTCCAAACTTGAAGGGCATAGCGTGACTGGTTGTTTGTGATTTAATTATGCACGCGCCTCGGCGTAGGTATTTACAAAAACTTTTTACTCTAAACTTTTGTGATATAATATTTCAGTTCCTCGTAGTGCAGGACATAACATCAGCAAAGCCGGCTGATGAATGGGAAAAGCACTTACGAAAAAGAAGGTTTACTAATAAAATCTATTTACTTACCCCTGTACCTATTTATCAAGCGGAATTACTGGCGATTCTCTTATCGTTACGAAAAGTGCCTCAATCAATAACAGATGCTATTATTCTTTCAGATTGCTTGTCTGTGTGTAGTTCATTAACTGCGCCTGATATGTCCAATGCTTTAAAAGTATTTTACGACCTTGCCCCAAGACATGTACGACTCCTTCACTTGGTGTGGATACCAGGGCATAAAGGTTTAACCCTCAATGACTATGCAGTTGCACTCGCAGTGGCCTCACATAATTATTCTGAAATTTCTATATTGCCGACGCTAGCATTTATCGCCGTGGCACGCTTTGAAAAATTTGTCATGTCAGATCAGTTTGAAAAATCTCGCTTGGCAACATCTGATTTTTCCCATCCTAAGTACCCTTGGAAAAATCGATGGTGCTCCTCTAGAACGGCGGAGATTTCAATTACGAGACTAAGATGCCGAGTCCCCCCATGAACTTTTACCTACACAGGTCTGGTCTGGCACAGTCTCCCCTATGCCTCCACTGCAACGAAAGTAAATCCCCTCACCATTTCCTTTTAACATGCAGGTTATATACAAACCAAAGGAAGATACTGTTAGAAGAACCTCTCCGTAGGTTGGCTCTAAATTTATCCCTTCCGGTTGTCCTTTCCTTTGGAGCAACTGAAAAGGGATTTAGCCAAAGGAACGTTTGCGAGGCCGTATGCGTTTTTCTAAAGGCAACAAAACAATTAGCATGTTAAGCTGAGGCATAAATTCCCTTTATTTCAAACCATATTAGCTTGTTCGTTCTTTCTATTACGTCTATTTATTTTATTTCTAATCTATCGTTTACTAATTGGTTCTTTGCTTAAACATCGTTGTCTAAATAATCCGGCTGGTAAAACAACTCCACCTCACAAATGAGGCACCGTCCGTTTCATGGCCGATCTCCCGTGGTGGGTTGCACCAGGACTTTGAGGAACAACCAACCAACCAACCAACCCCGTATTCACAAAAATATCTAACGCAAGAATTTTTCCAAGAAAAAAAACCTGAGCCAGTCCTGATGCTCGAAACAGCATTAATGAAGCTCGATGGTCAACTAAGAACGCTTACGAAAGGAAAACTTCGCTAGTTTCGCCCTAGGGCCTATATTAAAAAAAGAAAATTAACAAAACATCCCAAGCTCAGAGTGCCAGTAAGAGAGTCTTCCAGCCATGCTGATTAAAGGCATAACATTGAAACCGTCTGGCCAACGAAAAAGAAGTTTTTTGAACTTTTCTTCCGCACCCAAGTTCAAAAGGCTTTTTGTTCGTTATATGCTGTCGGCCATTGGCCGACTTTCTTCGGCAATGGTATGTGCAGCATCGAAATTGCCTGAAAGATTATTTTATGGGCATTCTTAGCGTAAGAAGTTTTCTTGAATACTTGCCCAGGACTCGAATTCACGAATATTTTTGTTCACTAGTTCATTTTTTCACAGGTTGTCAGCTTTATATAATGATATTTGTTCTTACTGTTAATGGTATTTGGTTATCAACCTTGTCTAATGATAATGAGTGAGCATTTCGTCTCACTAACAATCGTAGGTTATGAAGAAGTTTTCGTGAATATTGACGCCGTTTAGAACCATGCAGTAGCGTGACATGAACATTGAAGATTGAATTGGTACTGTGCACAAAAAATCAAAACCCGTCTTATGCTCCCTTTCAAGAGCATGAGATTATGAAAGGCACATAACAGTGAGCGGGTACGTGCCACAAGTCATTGACACTTAGTATCTACCTAGGAAAGACGAGAACTGACATAAGCTATTTTAACGCGCGAGCGTTAAGAAAACCTTGACAACGGCAGCACTGACCCGACGAATGCAAAAAAAATAAAGTCAGGGTCCCAGCAAGGATCGAACCCAATCATTCTGCATGACCATCAAGTGTTCTCCCGCAGAGCCACGCCAGGTCTCAGAACTACTTTTGAAATACACCCCAATGTTTGTGAAACGTCAATTGCGGTTGTCTTGCTGGCTATACAATTTTATAAACAATGGATATGTACTCCTGCGATACAGCCGTGACGTCGGGTTAACGTGAATTGTAGTTAGGTACCATGCGCTGAAGTTCATTTATGTAGCAGCGACCAGGGCTGCATCCTCGCGAGCACCAGCGCTTCATATCTGCTTATCGCTTGTCGTGTTGCTATACTCATGCTCTTGTTGGCATCATTGCGCAAGTGTAAACAACTTGTTATACAAACATTTGCAACTCTTCAACATACGTCTGTGGGCACAACATTCGTACATATATTTAGCGTCATTTCATGACGTGTCTGTCGCTATATAAAATAACAACACGGTCACTTTCCCCCCACATGTTTCACATAACGTCGATTTCCAAGTTATACGTGGGATCTGCCGAAATTTTCAGTTTAAATCAACAAAGACGCATGTTGTTTAAAAAGTAACTGGAACAGCAATGAATCTTCACCACAAGTTTTAGACCGTTCATCTCATAACAGTAGGGGTCATTTTCAACCTTTGTCTTAAGTGAATGTGCTTCTTGAATTCATTGAATTCAATTCCCGAAATGTGCCACCTTAGCTAAAGTAGTTTGTTGATAAGTTGATTAGCCAGATTTTTTTAAAAACATAATGCTTATTTTGATTTCTTGCTCAAGTGTTCCATGCTCCATCAAGCAAGCGAAATCATTGAGCATATTTTTACTAAGTTATTCTATGCCATACTTCCCAACCATTTTGGCGACCATCTCAAATGCATTCGCAAAATACCATGATCATTTATTGCGTTGGAAACAATGAACTGCTAGAATCTTCCACGTATACAAAACAATTGGTAACATAGTAGCTTTCTGAATTACGCATGTGTCATCTGAGTGATGCTTGTAATATGATGTTTTCCGAGAATATCTTTTTCCGTTTCAATTGCGAATTCCGTTTCAATAGCTAACAAAAAAAAAGTTACATCCAAGTGACCTTCCCTCTACATGCTGCGCATGACATTGATTCTCATGGTGCGTTGGATGTGCCGAATTTTTTTCTCTTAAAATTTACAGACTTCAGTTGTGCGAAGTATTCTGATGACAAAATGTACCTTGTGGATTGTAAGTTTTGATTACTCCGATATTTATACGAGACGGAAGAGGAAAAATGTAAACAAAAAAAGATTTAGGCAAAACTTTTGTAGGTGTAAATAGCATTATGTGGCCGAAAAATTGTAGTAATGTTATTGAGCTTCGAACGGCTTGAACAAACGCATTTGCTTAATATGTAAGTCAAATTTGATGTTGAAAGAAAAACGGCACTCTCAGAATGAATCTTCCGACAAGCATCACTAAGACGACATTACGCGAAATTATGAAGGCTCCCACGTGATCATAAAATTTTCTTCCGAAATATTTCATATAGCTTCACCGTGTTCAATGCAGTAAGTCATTACGATACTTTCCGAATACAATTTAGATGGTCACCAGAATGACTGGGAAATGTTG